GTCTCCTGGAGTCCTGATGCCCTCGGCCCAAACCTCCACATATCGACTCTTTGCTCTGAGGCCGTGTGCTCGTCGAGGTCCCGATCCATCCTGGAGCTCGTCGCAGTCGTTAGGTCCAGAATAATCCTGACTTCCTCTGTCAGTCTGAAGTCCATCTGTTCTTAAAGCTGGGGTACGTAACTTTCAGACCACACACATGGAAACGTTTTCTTTAATGGCCCCGACAGGAAACTATTCAAAAACAGACACAGTAAAATCACAAGACATTGAGTAATATCAAGAGGAGGTGATGTCACGAAGCTCATTTAAGTTAAGTGCAATATACAGTAGTTTACCCCAGTGCAATATGCTGCAAAGTGCAACACGCATAAAGTGCTAAGTGCTGTTAAGTTGGGATGAATGTAGTTCCCAGGAGCCCTTCAGCGCCCCACCCTGAGGGTAAGAGTTAGGACTGCACCTTCAGAGCACAGGTCTCTCTCTGGTCTCTCCCTGGTCTCTCTCTCTGGTCTCTCTCTGGTCTCTCTCTCTGGTCTCTCTCTGGTCTCTCCCTGGTCTCTCTCTCTGGTCTCTCTCTGGTCTCTCTCTGATCTCTCCCTGGTCTCTCTCTCTCTCTGGTCTCTCTCTGGTCTCTCCCTGGTCTCTCTCTCTGGTCTCTCTTTCTGTTCTCTCCCTGGTCTCTTTCTCTGGTCTCTCTCTAGTCTCTCTCTGATCTCTCCCTGGTCTCTCTCTCTGGTCTCTCTCTGGTCTCTTCCTGGTCTCTCTCTCTGTTCTCTCCCTGGTCTCTCTCTCTGGTCTCTCTCTGGTCTCTCCCTGGTTTCTCTCTGGTCTCTCTCTCTGGTCTCTCTCTGGTCTCTCTCTCTGGTCTCTCTCTGGTCTCTCTCTCTACTTTCTCTTTGGCCAGAGAGAGACCAGAGAGAAGATGTTTCTGGGACTGGTCTGCTTCCTGATTGGCCTGATATCTTTAGAATTCTTTCTTACATATCTTTCATATCAGTTCAATGTATTTTTGGACAGCCCTAAATCACAACGGCAGTTTTCTCGGAGGATCTTACTGTTGATTCGCCGACACAGATCAGAGAATCAAACAGTGCAAACAGAGGAAATGCTAAAGTTACGTACCCCAGCTTTAACAAGAACCCTCTGAGCCCTGATTCCAGACAGGCTTCTGCAGTCCTGGACCTGGACCCGGTGCGACGAGGCCTGGTTTTGGTCGGACTCTTGGGTGACACGCACAGCTGCAGTTCCATTTTTACTTTTATGAAACGGTTCCACATGTTTTTCGGACTCTCGGACAGTCTCCCCTGGTGTTCGCGTCCTCAGCGCTTGGACTTTTGTACATATGTGTAAAGAAAAAAGGCCGGGACAGAACCACACACTGGGTTTTTCAGTAGAATGTCTTAGTTTAAACGAACAGGGATGAAATGAGCCACACTTTTCTTCTGTTCGCGCCTCGAGTATTCGTGAGATTTTCAGCTCGGGATGTGCCAAAGCTACACACACGGAGCTGTTCTCTGAGTGAAGCTGTCCATGTCCCGAAAGGAACGACGGAAATGTGAAAAACTGACCCCTGAGTCTGGATGGCTCTGAGAGAAACTGTCTCTGCTGTAGAAAGGATCATCTCCCTCTGGTCCTCTCTGGTCTCTCTCTGGTCTCTCTCTGATCTCTCTCTGGTCTCTCTCTGGTCTCTCTCTGGTCTCTCTCTGGTCTCTCTCTGGTCTCTCTCTGGTCTCTCTCTGGTCTTTCTCTGATCTCTCTCCGGTCTCTCTGGTCCTCTCAGGTCTCTCTCTCTAGTCTCTCTGGTCTCACTGGTCTTCTCTGGTCTCTCTCTAGTCTCTCTGGTCTCTCTCTAACTGGTCTTTCTCTGGTCTCTCTCTGGTCTCTCTAACTGGTCTCTCTCTGGTCTTTCTCTGGTCTGTCTCTGGTCTCTCTCTCTTTTGTCCCTCTCTCTGGTCTCTTTCTTTTCCCCCCCCACAACATATTTTTTCTACACCCAGAGACAATTTCAAGTCCAAAAATTAAACATTTAAAAAACATTTATAATCCTGTCTAAGAGACAAAAAGGTCGCGGAAAATTCTAGTGCAATGTTTCTTCATCAGGATCCGTCCACAGACCAGAGCCATCGTCTTCACTGTGCCATAATGTGTGCCATGTCTGTACCGCAGCGTCTCACAGAAATGAGAAGCTCCAGGACTGAGACTGTAGACCCAGGACTGAGGCTGTAGACCCAGGACTGAGGCTGTAGACCCAGGACTGAGGCTGTAGACCCAGGACTGAGGCTGTAGACCCAGGACTGAGGCTGTAGATCCAGGACTGAGACTGTAGACCCAGGACTGAGGCTGTAGACCCAGGACTGAGGCTGTAGACCCAGGACTGAGACTGTAGACCCAGGACTGAGGCTGTAGGCCCAGGACTGAGGCTGTAGACCCAGGACTGAGGCTGTAGACCCAGAACTGAGACTGTAGACCCAGGACTGAGGCTGTAGGCCCAGGACTGAGGCTGTAGGCCTATATATATAAAATATATAAAGAATATAAAGAGCTGCTCTCAACAATCAGACGATCTGTTCAGAACCTGAGGTTTGTGTCCGACACAAACGACATCAAAGTCATTTATGGAAATCCACTCATTTTAAACCAAACTCTCGTTTCTGCGTCACTTTATGTGTGTCACAACAACAACAACAACATCAGGGCTCTACGCCCTGTTCTCCGACAGGTCAGAGGCTCAGGGTCCTGTTCTCCGAGAGGTCAGAGACTCAGGGTCCTGTTCTCCGACAGGTCAGAGGCTCAGGGTCCTGTTCTCCGAGAGGTCAGAGACTCAGGGTCCTGTTCTCCGAGAGGTCAGAGGCTCAGGGTCCTGTTCTCCGAGAGGTCAGAGGCTCAGGGTCCTGTTCTCCGAGAGGTCAGAGGCTCAGGGTCCTGTTCTCCGAGAGGTCAGAGGCTCAGGGTCCTGTTCTCCGAGAGGTCAGAGGCTCAGGGTCCTGTTCTCCGAGAGGTCAGAGGCTCAGGGTCCTGTTCTCCGACAGGTCAGAGACTCAGGGTCCTGTTCTCCGAGAGGTCAGAGACTCAGGGTCCTGTTCTCCGAGAGGTCAGAGGCTCAGGGTCCTGTTCTCCGAGAGGTCAGAGACTCAGGGTCCTGTTCTCCGAGAGGTCAGAGGCTCAGGGTCCTGTTCTCCGAGAGGTCAGAGGCTCAGGGTCCTGTTCTCCGAGAGGTCAGAGACTCAGGGTCCTGTTCTCCGAGAGGTCAGAGACTCAGGGTCCTGTTCTCCGAGAGGTCAGAGGCTCAGGATCCTGTTCTCCGAGAGGTCAGAGGCTCAGGGTCCTGTTCTCCGACAGGTCAGAGACTCAGGGTCCTGTTCTCCGACAGGTCAGAGACTCTCAGGGTCCTGTTCTCCGAGAGGTCAGAGACTCAGGGTCCTGTTCTCCGAGAGGTCAGAGGCTCAGGGTCCTGTTCTCCGACAGGTCAGAGACTCAGGGTCCTGTTCTCCGACAGGTCAGAGACTCAGGGTCCTGTTCTCCGAGAGGTCAGAGACTCAGGGTCCTGGTCTCCGAGAGGTCAGAGGCTCAGGGTCCTGTTCTCCGAGAGGTCAGAGACTCAGGGTCCTGTTCTCCGAGAGGTCAGAGGCTCAGGGTCCTGTTCTCCGAGAGGTCAGAGGCTCAGGGTCCTGTTCTCCGAGAGGTCAGAGACTCAGGGTCCTGTTCTCCGACAGGTCAGAGGCTCAGGGTCCTGTTCTCCGAGAGGTCAGAGGCTCAGGGTCCTGTTCTCCGAGAGGTCAGAGACTCAGGGTCCTGTTCTCCGACAGGTCAGAGGCTCAGGATCCTGTTCTCCGAGAGGTCAGAGACTCAGGGTCCTGTTCTCCGACAGGTCAGAGGCTCAGGGTCCTGCTGTGTGTTTGTGTTTTAGTTTGTGTGTGTCTCATGAACAGTTGCAGCGACTCAGAACACACTTCTTCAGTGTAAAGAGAAGCCGTCACCATGACGACAGATGCTTTTGATCTGGTGACACAAGAACAAACGTCTTCATAGTGACGTCCACAGAGAGGACGACGTCACTGATGACATCATCATGATGACATCACCGTGAGGTCACGCTAGGCGCCTGTACAGACACTCGATGGCGTCTTTTCTACGCTGAGCCCACTTTAGACCGAACCACGCCCGGTTTGATAAATACTATTTTTTACTACATGTTTCAGGTAATTCTTTCTAAATATATTGATATACTTAGCTTTGCTCAGATGTGATATTTTATAAGACACTTAGTTATGGACGGAGCGTTCGCACACGAGCTGGAGACTCCACTGTACAAACTGTATTTCTACTGTAATGTGAGATGTGCTATAAAATATATATTATATATATGTACATGACTATAAAGAGGTCATTTTCTAAGTGTTTGAATTATACTGAGGAGGCTAGCGATGCTAACGATGCTAATGATGCTAACGAGGCTGTACATAATGAGGACGGTGATGAAGGCTCATGTAGTGAATGTACCCCCCTCCTGCTCTGAACGGGCTCGTCCAGAGGGACCCTGTCAATGTGAGGGACCTCACACTGTCCCGCAGCGGAGGGGGTTTGGCGGCACTTTTATTTTCTGCAGGATGGCAGAGGAAGCATTGATCTACGTCTGTCCTGAGGGACCGCGCCAAGCACCAACGCAGACCAAAACTTTCCCAAACTTTGCTCTGTTTGGGTGAAATAAAGTTAAATCAAAATCCAATCAGAGGCCACCCTTCCCCTGTCATCCAATCAGAGGCCGCCCTTCCCCTGTCATCCAATCAGAGGCCGCCCTTCCCCTGCCATCCAATCAGAGGCCGCCCTTCCCCTGTCATCCAATCAGAGGCCGCCCTTCCCCTGTCATCCAATCAGAGGCCGCCCTTCCCCTGCCATCCAATCAGAAGTCACCCTTCCCCTGCCATCCAATCAGAGGCCGCCCTTCCCCTGCCATCCAATCAGAGGCCGCCCTTCCCCTGCCATCCAATCAGAGGCCGCCCTTCCCCTGCCATCCAATCAGAGGTCACCCTTCCCCTGCCATCCAATCACAGGTTACCCTTCCCCTGCCATCCAATCAGAGGTCACCCTTCCCCTGCCATCCAATCACAGGTCACCCTTCCCCTGCCATCCAATCAGAGGCCACCCTTCCCCTGCCGTCCAATCACAGGTCACCCTTCCCCTGCCGTCCAATCACAGGTCACCCTTCCCCTGCCGTCCAATCACAGGTCACCCTTCCCCTGCCATCCAATCAGAGGCCGCCCTTCCCCTGCCATCCAATCAGAGGCCCCCCTTCCCCTGCCATCCAATCAGAGGCCACCCTTCCCCTGCCGTCCTGTATAATCTTCTGGTCCGTGTGGAGGACGGGCTGACAGCTGCTTCTGTTGGTGACGATGGTGTGAGGAGATGGTTCTGATTCTGTCCCTTCGTTCCTTTGCACACGCCAGTTTTAAACCCTTCCAATTTGAGTTTTAAGTATTTATGGGAGAAATGTATCCGCTGAAGTATACATAATATATACCTGTGTTTAGAATGCATCTGTACATACTATTTAAGATACAGTTTTTACAAAAATATTATATGTATAAAGTTGAGAAAATGCTGTGCAGCGATTCCACCGGAGCCTTTTTGGGCTTTGGGAAAGTACCATTTTTTCAATATATAAGAAGTGTTTTGAATAATGTACGAAAGTCTATTGTACAAATAATAAAATGTCAATATTGGTAACTGCTGCGTCGCTTCATTCAGTTCCATTCATGAGGGGTTCTCTGGTCTCTCTCTGGTCTCTCCCTGGCCTCTCTCTGGTCTCTCTTTGGTCTCTCCCTGGTGACACTCTGGTCTCTCCCTGGTTTCTCTCTGGTCTCTCTTTGGTCTCTCTCTGGTCTCTCTGGTCTCTCTCTGCTTTATCTCTGGTCTCTCCCTCTGTTTTCTCTTTGGTCTCTCCCTAGTCTCTCTCCAGTCTCCCTCTGGTCCCTCTATGGCCTCTCTGTTTTCTTTCTGGTCTTTGATCTTTGTCTGTTCTCTCTCTGGTCTCTCTCTGGTCTCCCTCTGGTCTCTCCCTGCTTTATCTCTGGTCTCTCTCTGGTCTCTCTGCTTTATCTCTGGTCTCTCTCTGGTCTCCCTCTGGTCTCTCTCTGCTTTATCTCTGGTCTCTCCCTCTGTTTTCTCTTTGGTTTCTCTCTGGTCTCTCTCTGGTCTCCCTCTGGTCTCTCTGCTTTATCTCTGGTCTCTCTCTGGTCTCTCTCTGGTCTCCCTCTGGTCTCTCTCTGCTTTATCTCTGGTCTCTCCCTCTGTTTTCTCTTTGGTCTCTCTCCGGTCTCTCTCTAGTCTCCCTCTGGTCTCCCTCTGGTCTCCCTCTGGTCTCTCTCTGGTCTCTTTCTGGTCTCCCTCTGGTCTCTCTCTGGTCTCTCTCCGGTCTCTCTCTAGTCTCCCTCTGGTCTCCTTCTGGTCTCTCTGGTCTGAGTGGGCCTGGTCCACACAGAGAGCATTATTCCAGCCCTAAGTCCTGGACAAGAGGGTCTTCTCTGCTGCTGTCATTGTTTATTGAGTCTCTGAATGGACTAGTTGTGACGACAGAGACTGGAGGCGTGATGTGCATCTGGTTTATTCTGCGAAACAGCAATATTTAAAGCTGAGGTATGTAACTTTCAGACCACACCAACAGAACAACAGAAGTAAAATCCACGTCACTAGTTCCTGGTTCTTAAAAGGTTGCTTCCATTAGTATTTTCCATTAGTATTAGCATCCAGTATGTAGCCTCTGTCACAAGACCAGAGAGAGACCAGAGAGAGACCAGAGAGAGACCAGAGAGAAGCCAGAGCGAGACCAGAGAGAGACCAGAGAGTGACCATAAAGATACCAGAGAGAGACCAGAGCAAGACCAGAGAGAGACAAGAGAGAGGCCAGAGTAAGACCAGAGAGAGACCAGAGAGAGACCAGAGCAAGACCAGAGAGAGACCACAAAGACACCAGAGAGAGACAAGAGCGAGACCAGAGAGAGACCATAAAGACACCAGAGAGAGACAAGAGAGAGGCCAGAGAGAGACCAGAGAGAGACAAGAGAGAGGCCAGAGCGAGACCAGAGAGAGACCAGAGAGAGACCAGAGAGAGACAAGAGAGAGGCCAGAGCGAGACCAGAGAGAGACCATAAAGATACCAGAGAGAGACAAGAGAGAGGCCAGAGAGAGACCAGAGCGAGACCAGAGAGAGACCAGAGAGAGACCATAGAGAGAGGCCAGAGAGAGACCAGAGCGAGACCAAAAAGAGATCAGAGAGAGACCACATAGTGGTTAGTGAGGGGGCAGAGACCAGATGGAGACCAGAACAAGACGAGTGAGAGACCAGAGAGAGACCACAGTTTAGAGAGAGACCAGAGAGGGACCTAAGAGAGATTAGTGCAAGACCAGATAGAGACCAGAAAAGTCACACATCATGTACATGTTTCCCATTGTCTCCTTCATGGTGTGACGATGGGACCTCTGAACCCGGCCTCCTCCATCTGTGGCCTCTGTCCTCGTTCTACAGCCTGAGTCCTGGGTCTACAGCCTGAGTCCTGGGTCTACAGCCTGAGTCCTGGGTCTACATCCTGAGTCCTGGATCTACAGCCTGAGTCCTGGTCTACAGCCTCAGTCCTGGGTCTACAGCCTGAGTCCTGGGTCTACAGCCTCAGTCCTGGGTCTACAGCCTGAGTCCTGGGTCTACAGCCTGAGTCCTGGATCTACAGACCGGATCTCTCTCTCTCGCTGTGGGCCTCCCTGGGGTTTCTCACTTTATTCCCACTGGGTTTTGATGTATTATTGTTACATTTATGGACTTCATCAACATTGGTCCACAGTGTTTTTTATGGTTGCATGTAACTGTCTGATTCTCTGATCTGCTGTTGCTGAATCGACAGTAAAGTCCTCAGAGATCAAAGTGTTTTAGGGCGATTCATTTATAAATAAATAAATAAATGAAAGCTCCACAGTCTGTGAAACTCTGTGGTTCATTAAATACTGCAGCAGTTTGTTCAGAGATCAATGCCTCTGATCAATACTGCGACACACTGACCTGCATTCAGCCACTGACACCAGGACTGACACCAGGACTGACACCAGGAAGGAGACCAGGAAGCAGACCAGGACTGACACCAGGACTGACACCAGGACTGACACCAGGAAGGAGACCAGGAAGCAGACCAGGACTGACACCAGGACTGACACCAGGACTGACACCAGGAAGGAGACCAGGAAGCAGACCAGGAAGCAGACCAGGACTGACACCAGGACTGACACCAGGAAGGAGACCAGCACTGACACCAGGAAGCAGACCAGGACTGACACTAGGACTGACACCAGGAAGGAGACCAGAACTGACACCAGGACTGACACCAGGAAGCAGACCAGCACTGACACCAGGAAGGAGACCAGGAAGGAGACCAGGAAGCAGACCAGGACTGACACCAGGAAGCAGACCAGCACTGACACCAGGAAGGAGACCAGAGAGCAGACCAGGACTGACACCAGGAAGAAGACCAGAACTGACACCAGGACTGACACTAGGAAGGAGACCAGAACTGACACCAGGATTCACACCAGGACTGACACCAGGAAGCAGATCAGGAATGACACCAGGAAGGAGACCAGAACCGACACCAGAACTGACACTAGGAAGGAGACCAGAACTGACACCAGGACTGACACCAGGCTCATTCTAATGTGGGGGAAGTGTCTTGCCTAAGGACACAACCACAGTTTGGCACTTTACGCCCCACTGTGGCACCTGGTGTTCCCAGAGGTCTCCCATCACAGCACTAACCAGGCCCTGCCCTATTGAGGATCAGAGGTCTGGCATGATGTGGCTTTCACCTGCAGGATGCTTTACTTGAACTTCCAGAAAGCCATAGGCCCGCCCCCTTCTGCCTAAATGCTCAGATCTCAAACTCTGTGATGTACTGTGATGAATCCTCGCCCTGCTCTGGAGACCTGCAGTTGTTTTTAGCTCAGTCCCTTCTGTCTGTTCTTGGTGTGGGAAAGTATGTCCTGTTTTCCATCACAAAGACTGGTCCTGCTGGGACGTCCCGAACAAGGATCCACTCAGGACGAGACCAGAGCATCAGGCGAGTGACCACACACACACACACACACACACACACACACACACACACACACACACACACACACACACACACACACGTACACACACATACACGTTTTTGTTACCTGGTGGGTCCCTTTGACAGGGCCGTTCAGAATGGGACCCATAGACATAATCTTTTTTACTGGGACTACTTTAAGTAATACAAAACAGTCAATAGAAACAAAACAACTATTTTAAAGGAATTTTATTTTAGATTTTTTTTTCGAATTGCAGTGATTCTATTTTTGACATAGAATTTAATGCCACTCCATGTCCGATGTCTAAGGTCATCTGGTGAGGCATTAATGCAGGCCAGGCAGTGAGACTTCCCAGGGACTTTTCCAGTCTGTATGAAAGGTGTCATGGTCTTCTCCACAGCCTTCACCTCAGATGCAGACCATGGCTTTCTTACACGTTCTAGGGAGAGAAATAAAAATATATTAGCAATATACACTCCCAGGGTTAGGACCAAGCAGCCTGGCTGTAATCCCCCACCTGGTACACTTACCAGAAGGGGCACTGCCACTACCATGGGGTGCATCTGGATGAATGGTTGAAGGTTCTCCGCTTGAAGTTTCTTTTAGCCCGTCCGTTTGTGAGAGGATCTCTACTGCTCTCCCTGTCGCACAGAAAATAAAAATACAAGTGGCCTTTAGGGGAAAAAAATCATACATATTTTAATAATATCAAGAATTACCTTCAGGCTCAATTTGTATCTGGTCGAGGCTCTTTCCTTCGAATTCCGTCACTCTTCCCTGCTCCATGGCCATTAACACTTTGCTGATTTTGGCCAGCTCCAGTGTCCCCTCTGGTAGTCTGTAATATTGTCTGTGGATGCGAATGTCATGGCCGAGGAAGTTGGCAAGTATGTCCATTTCATTCTCTTTCATATTGAGAACTGTAGACATAGTAGCTATGTGCTTTCTAAGTTTGGTTGAGGATAGCATCTCTGGATGCACCGCACCACATTCTTTGGCTACCTGGCGTAGGGAGTCTGATCCCCTGATGTGGGTGTCTGCGCCCGGGCGGGAGAAGAAGTATGGGTTATGGTCAGAGATGGAACAGGCCCTTCTGTTCTCCACCAGCACCTCCATCCAAGCAATCATTTCAGGAGTCAAAAGAACCGGCACTTTCCGACTTCTTTTCCCTTTAATTTCAATGCGTTGAAAATGCTGACACAGCTTTTTCTCAAGTTGGGACAGTCCCAGAGCAATGTCAGAATGGATCCCAGTCTTACTTCTTAAGGTAAACGCTGTCAGTGGCATCTTTGAAACCTCACCTACCCTTCTTCGATTGAAAATGATGACCTCACAAAGAGTCAAAACTGCCAGTTTAGACCAATGCTTAGACGTTGGCTCACTTATTAGGGTTTGCACATATTCAGGTCGACATACCTCAATATATGCATGCATGGCTCTAACGTCCTCAGTCAGTGACCTCATCCTGATGCATTGCCCAAATTAAAGACCACAGCTTTTTGCTGATGCCCTCCGGTACAGGCTGGGCTAGGGAGCAGAGGGACTGGACCCTACTTCTACCTGGTTTAGCCTGGTTTAGCCTGGGCATCTTTCTGTGAAAGCCGGCACCTGGCCACATGCCTCCACAGCGACTTTCGCTTAAGCAATGCCCCACAGTCTATACAGTGCAAAAACTCACTGGATTTAATTGGGCAATTTGGCTGTTTAGCTGGGACTAAAGTTCCAATGCCGGCCTTTAAAACCTCAAAATTGTGCTCACGGTTTCCACTATTCCTGATCAAATCAAACTGAAGTTTACGTGCTTTAGATTTCACAGGTAGAGCCAATGCTCTGGCTACGTCACTTTCATTTCCATGTTTTCTAGTCAAATGACGGGACATTTTGTGGCAGGACATTGAACAGTAGAGGCAGAAGTGTCTCTTGCTATAAACTCGCCCCCCATTTTTCTTCTTTTGCAGCTGCATGATAACAATCTTATTTGCCTTTGGTTTGTCACTTTCCGAGTCTTGAAGAAAAGTGTTTTCGATTTTTCTTTTTCCATACTTTTTTACAGGTTTCTTCTTGACAGTTAAAGCGTCAGAATCTGAGTCGACTTCATTAATTAGGGACTCTTGACTAAGCTGCACAAACAACAAATAATTTGTAATAATTCTATATAACAATTTGAAGTCATGACTTGTAGTCAGCACTTACCAGTGGTTTGTAAGCGTGCGCTTCAGTGTGCTGCTCTGTGATTGGCTGCAGCCTAATGAACCACGCACTTGCACCTTTTCTAGCCTGACACCTGATTTCCTCTGTTGTGCTGCTCCATGATTGGCTCCAGCCTCTGTTGTGCTGCTCCATGATTGGCTCCAGCCTCTGTTGTGCTGCTCCATGATTGGCTCCAGCCTGCTGGACTGAAATTGCCCCAGTGTGCCCCTCCTTGATATCCCGCAACCCACCACCAGGGTTCCGACACATAACACACTTTTTTCAGGAAAGTAAACCTCCAGGGGTCCTTTCCATATTTTTACAGAGACTGCATAAGGACCGTTAGAAAAGCATTACCCATTGATTATTAAGCTTGGACCAGTGGGGTCCGGTGTTCGGGCCCCACCACGTAAAACCAGTCCCCATGACGTGAGTGGAATCTCAGGTTATGGAACCCACCAGGAGTTGAAAACAAGTGCACACACACACATGTACACACACACACACATGCACACACAGACACATGTACACACACACACACACACACACATGCACACACAAACCAGAAGAGGGACCAGAGAGAGACCAATGAGAGACCAGAGAGAGACCTGGACCATGGGCACGGTCTCCTCTGGTTGGGAAACTCCCTGGTCCACAGACGTTTCATCCAGGCTTTATGAGGCTTTATGAGGCTGTTTACAGAGTTACAGAGAGCAGAGCCGTGTTTACTGCAGACAAGGCTCAGGTCCAGGTTCTCACAGTCTCTTTCTCTCTCACACATTTATCTGCACTTTCTAGTGTTAAGAAAGTGTTTAGTCTCATAAAGAGACCAGGGAGAGAGACCAGGGAGAGAGACCAGGGAGAGAGACCAGAGAGAGAGACCAGAGAGAGAGACCAGGGAGAGAGACCAGAGAGAGAGAGACCAGGGAGAGAGACCAGAGAGAGAGACCAGAGAGAGAGACTAGGGAGAGAGACCAGAGAGAGAGACCAGGGAGAGAGACCAGGGAGAGAGACTAGGGAGAGAGACCAGGGAGAGAGACTAGGGAGAGAGACCAGAGAGAGAGACCAGAGAGAGAGACCAAGGAGAGAGACCAGGGAGAGAGACTAGGGAGAGACCAGGGAGAGAGACCAGAGAGAGAGACCAGAGAGAGAGACTAGGGAGAGAGACCAGAGAGAGAGACCAGAGAGAGAGACCAGGGAGAGAGACCAGGGAGAGAGACCAGGGAGAGAGACTAGGGAGAGAGACCAGAGAGAGAGACCAGGGAGAGAGACCAGGGAGAGAGACCAGGGAGAGAGACTAGGGAGAGAGACCAGAGAGAGAGACCAGAGAGAGAGACCAGGGAGAGAGACCAGAGAGAGAGAGACCAGGGAGAGAGACCAGAGAGAGAGACCAGAGAGAGAGACTAGGGAGAGAGACCAGAGAGAGAGACCAGAGAGAGAGACCAAGGAGAGAGACCAGAGAGAGAGACCAGAGAGAGAGACCAAGGAGAGAGACCAGGGAGAGAGACCAGAGAGAGAGACCAGAGAGAGAGACCAAGGAGAGAGACCAGGGAGAGAGACTAGGGAGAGAGACCAAGGAGAGAGACCAGGGAGAGAGACTAGGGAGAGAGACCAGAGAGAGAGAGAGCCAAGAGGGAAACCTGCGAGCGAGACGAGAGAGACCAGAAAGAGAGATCTGAGAGAGATACTAGATAGAGAGAGAGAGAGAGACAAGAGAGAAACCTGAGGGAGAGCCAGTCAATCAGCCCAGAGTCAAATACTCACAGGGTACTTTCATAAACCAAAGAAATCATGTTTTCATTTCCACACAATGCGGTTACATTTACGAGACTCATATTTTTACTACATGTGTAATGTGTCCCACTGCTCCGTAACCTGTGATGCAACACTGACATTTCACAAAAGCAGGATACGAAAAACAAAAGTTAGGCCCCCATCTTTAATGATAGTCCAAAGAACAAGAGGCTAAAGTGACACCATAATCCATGCTACAGTATGTGTTCTCTAAGTCAGCCCTTTATTTACTCTAAAACAGCTTACTACGTGTGTGTGTGTGTGTGTGTGTGCATATGTATCTGTGTGTGTGCGTGTGTGTGCATATGTATCTGTGTGTGTGTGTATGTATGTGCGTGAACGTGAGTGTGTGTACATGTGTGTGTAGTCAGCCCCATCCTTCGCGGACAAACCGGTTCCACTGCCTCCGTGACTGCAGCGGCGGAACCACCTTTACTCCACCGAGAAAAGTAACTTTCAGCCCCGCATAACTTCATGCAGACACCGCCTCCCTCCGCGGTCAGTCCAGAGCCGCAGTTTCGCTCCGGTCACTTGTCACTCCACTGTCATTTCGGATCAAACTTTACTCCAGCTTTTTCTTCACGTCAACTCAAGGATCTATTCTTTTTGTTTTTAAGTTTTTGCGTCAGTTTTGGCCTCAATCTGCGGTCGAACAGGAATTACCAGCGTTCTTAAATCCCAGCAGGCGTGGGCATATCTGCAGAGACGGGCATATCTGCTGTCAACATGCCCGTGCGACAGAAAGGTAAAAATATCCCGGTTTCCGCACATTTCCGCACATTTCCGCAGGTTTCCGCAGTTTTCCGCACATTTCCGCAGGTTTCCGCAGGTTTCCGCAGGTTTCCGACATAATGACGGACTCTGAGGACGGTGTATTTCTGACTGTGGTCGCGGCGCGTGGGCTGCTGTGGGCGCGTGCGAGTGGACCACGAAGCGGACCACGCCACAAAACTGGAGCATTTGACGTTTAACTCGTTACAGAAGTTGAGCTGCGTCTGTAAAGTAGTTTTTGACGCCGTAAGATAGTGTACACAGCCCTTTGTCTCAGATCGGCACAGTTAAATAGTGGAAATGTGTGTGTTTTCATTAGATTGGACTCCTCTTGTCTTGTCTGGCTCTACCCACTGACGCTCGCTGCTGTCAGTGAAAATTGACTCTAAAAACTACGGATATTTATTTATAATTAGTTAAATATGAGATTAAACTAAAATGGAACTATTACATGTGACTTGACATCAGTTATTAACGCTTGTTTTTGCGTTAGTCAAAGTTGTAAAGTAGAAATGAGCGTGTTTTATTTAGATGCGATTGATTATTATTCCTGTCTGATACAGAACCACAGCCACGAACCACGCATGTTTAACACTAGAGCTCCAAAAGTAGACAATTTGACTGCTTTTAGTTTCGGAAGTGTAATTACTCCGTTTATGTCCAAACCAAGGCCCGTGGGCCAAATGCGGCCCTTATTTCAATTCAGGCGACCCTTGCCTTGCTGACTGACAGGCAACTTCAGCTCCGCCAATATACACATGTTATACCACGTTCAGAATCTAGTTGTGTACACATACACATACACAACTTTACTACCGTTACAAATAGAGATACACTACACACAAAGAAGAAGTATGACTTAAATATATAAATATTAAACTCAGAACTAGAAGACTGTGACCAAAAGGAATTGTAATGTAAATCTAGTTTGATTATGTAGTTTTTTGTCTCCATAACTTTGTGACTCTGTATTTTGAATATAGTTTATTTCAAGTAATTATCTTATTATTATTATTATTATTATTATTATTATTATTATCTTGATCTGGCATTTTAGCTTGGATTTCAGTTTTGAGGTATTTCATTTCAGACTCTATGAATTACGAATGAATTTTAATAAAAGTAGTGAAAAACTAAAACTATTCTTTTGGGATTCATTTGAATGGGCGCTGTCAAAATGACTGCTCTGGGAGTTCAGCATTCTGGGAGTCATTCTGGGGTTCTTAGTCTCATTTAATATAATTTCATTTTAACATTTATCAATGTCAAAATACAGAATCATAGAAAGTACAAAACCACTGATTATTTTAAGCCCAAAATGGGGAGTGTGACACAAACGGTTATTGAGCTAAAAGAGTTCACTTTTAGATGTTAGTCAACAGGAGCCAGAGCGAGTTGGCGCAAACCTTTGACAATGAGCACTTCCCTGTTGAGCTTGTGTGTTAGCTTTTCCATCTATAAACAGTCTATGTTAGCATTGTCCATTTGTTTACAGCATAGACTGTAAAAAAGAACGGACAGAGTCATGCCCATCTGCGCCGTTCTAACTAATGGGCCAAAAATGTGCTCTACTGGAGCTATCCAAAATGGCCGCGAGTGGTCCCGCCCACAAGAAAATTGTGAAAAAACGCATCTGTGCATGCGTCAGCCGGCGCAACTCCATTCATTTGAACGAGAGACTTCAAAAATTCACAGCGACTAAACTAGACTGGTCCAGAACACTCAGCATTGACACGCATGTGGACCGGAGCTTTGGGCCAAGAGCCAACTTTTGGACCATCCTGTAAAGACGTTTTTGAGAGGTCTGCCAACGCTATATGTTAGCATTGGCTAATTCTTATTCTGGGTCCACCCCCACAGGACCGGGGTGGTATTGCAGCATGTCAGCGCACGTCATTTTGCCCACTTTTGAGCTGGGACCTGCCCACACTGGTTTACAGTCTGCGTTAGCATTGTCCATCTGTATTCAGCCAATTTCCAAGTCTGTGACCTCCTGTTACTTACGTGGCAATAAAAATGATTCTGATTCTGATTCAAATCCTCCAACTCCGGGTGTCCTGACCGGGTCAAATGCAGAAGACAAAGTTCCTCAAAATGAAGAGTTAATTTCATTGGTCAGAAAGAAACTGTTGGCGAGTGAAATTTGAACTAGAAAACAAACCATGCCACAAAACACACATGTTTACAGTGTAGCTTGTTATTATCGGTCATGGATGATCCTCACGGCACAGACCTTTGGTTTCAGTTCCAAAGCTGAATGTATTGGATTCTCTCACATGACTGTTGTGTTGCTGTAACTGCTCAGGTGAACTGTTATCAAGATTAAACCGCAGCCCACGCTGTGTATAAAGTAGGATTTATTAATGTTTAACTAGTTACAAACGCTGACACTTTATTGGCAGTGATTTCCCACGACTCAAAGCACTTATGGACTCTTTGTTTTTAAATTTGCCCAAGTACGAAAGTACATTATGGTGTGTTTACATGAAATTACTTACACAAATATAGTTGTCCATCTGTATACAGTCTAAGTTAGCATTAGCATCTGTATACAGTCAGTGTTAGCATTATCCATCTGTATACAGTCTGTGTTAGCATCGTCCATCTGTATACAGTCTGTGTTAGCATCGTCCATCTGTATACAGTCAGTGTTAGCATTATCCATCTGTATACAGTCTGTGTTAGCATTGTCCATCTGTATACAGCCTGTGTTAGCATTAGCATCTGTATACAGCCTGTGTTAGCATTGTCCATCTGTATACAGTCTATGTTAGCATTGTCCATCTGTATACAGTCTGTGTTAGCATTAGCATCTGTATACAGTCTGTGTTAGCATTGTCCATCTGTATACAGCCTGTGTTAGCATTGTCCATCTGTATACAGTCTGTGTTAGCATTGTCCATCTGTATACAGTCAGTGTTAGCATTAGCCTCTGTATACAGCCTGTGTTAGCATTGTCCATCTGTATACAGCCTGTGTTAGCATTAGCATCTGTATAGGAATGACAAAGATGTATTGATGTATCTTTCTGCAGACACATAACGTACACTATACCATGAGGCTTTTACACATGTGGAAAATCAGTAGAATATGAGCAGACGTCGATAGTGTGAGAGCATGGATCTGACAGGGAGGCCATCAGGGGGAAAGGCGTCACGTCAATAAACTGTGATGAACGCGGAGTACAGTCTATGACGCGGAGGCACGTGTAATGACCGACAGTCAAAAGTAAAACGAACACCAGACCATAACATGCTGTGAGAGCCCTGTAAGTCACTATTGGACTCTCTTTGACACTTGTCTGAAAAAGCTGACCCATATGAGCGAGACAGAGAAACATGAAAACTAGTGATAGAAGCAAGCAGGAACCAGAGACATGGATTTTATTACAGAGTTCTTGGTGTGGTGTGCAAATTATGTACCTTAGCTTTAAAGTTACGTACCTCAGCTTTAATGTGAGTGTGGTTGCAGACGCCCAGCGCGCCCTGGAGCTCCTGCAGCAGTACCGTCTCAGACTGACCCAGAGGCCGCAGTCTCCAGGAGGGGAGGACGACCAGCAGCTGCAGCGCAGTCTGGAGAGGGTCATCAGTGTGTTCCAGAGCCAGCTCTTCAACGCTCTCCTGGGTAAGACCACACCGGACTAAGACCAAGACCAGACACAGACCCAGACCAAACAGTGTTCTTGAGGAACTGAAAGAGAAGATGCTTCAGGAGGGTTTGATGATAAATTAGTTTTAGATAAATATATGAATACATTTTTTAGATCTCACAGTCAACATAAATATGGACAATACAGAACAGAAACAATCAAATATCAGACAACAACATGACATAGAATTAAAAATCATAATAAATAAAAACTCATGTATATCATATTATAATAAATTGCATATTTATTTTTCCAACATCAATACAATAAAGACGTTTTACATTTAGTTTAAAAAGTCCAATATATGGATTTTAAACAGTTCCACAGAAGAATGAGGCCGAGATCAGACGAGTCCAGTTCTATCTCTACATTTGAGGATGAATGTTTCGAGTCACTGTTTAAACCTGTGTACACTTTATTTCATAAACTAATGAACAGTTGATCTGATTAGAGCCGTGACAAAAGGCAGATTACAGACGGACTGAGCTGTCTTTGTGAAGTCTTCAGAGACACCATGAAGGACCATGAAGCACCAGCTGCTCTTTCACTCAGGATTATCCACCTGCTCCAAGACTAACCACCACCTGAAGCTTCTGTCTGTGTGACTCTTATATACAGTATATATAATATATACCCTTACTGTATATATATACTCTCTTATATGTGCGTAAGCAGATGATATGTGTTGGTTTTATTCTGAATCAGGAAAATACTGACAAGTAGCGTCCAAAAGTGAGGTGGTTCTTTACTTTCCGATCGCCTCAAAAGAAAGACCACATTCATTTGGGTATTTTTCAACTTTCAACAGTCTTAACTAAAAATAAGAATATCACAGTTGAATATGTCTGAACTCACTTTCAGTTTGGTTGGAGCCAATAGAGATTTCTCGCGTGACGTCACAAGGTCTAGAAGTCGCTAGGCCTCCGCCATGTTGGAGGACAACACAGTGTGGTAGTGGCGTGCACCCGGGACCGCATAAACATGTTCAACATTTGTGCTTTTCGGCTGCAGCAAAAGGAGAGACAGGGAAAATAAGTTGTGTTACCGACTGCCAGCGGATAGTGTTCCGCACTATAAGTTTAAGGATAGTGCAAACTTATCACTGTCTGATTGTAACGTGGGGTTGCTCCATAGACTGTAGCTTAGATTGAAGCGTTAGCATAGCTGTTATTTGCTCTCGTACCGGACCTCACCCGGTTCACAGGGTATCTGACTTGCCGAAGGCCAGCAGACGTGTGAACGACTGAGCCGTGCTCGAGGGTGCCCCGTACTAGTATTTATTAATAACATTTCCAGAGGATCTGGATTTAGGTTGAGTATATATTTGGTTCACCAAGTGCTGAAGTTTCAAATTCTCTGTTCAGTTTTCATGTAGTTCGAGAGAGTTCTAGTTTTGAACGTCCAGTTATAGAGAGCTAGCAGGGCTGTTACTCGCCGAGGTTGTCCTCCAGTATGGCTGCCGTGGCTGCTAGTCACGTGACCGTAGGATCCCTCTACTAAACTGCTAAATCAAGAACATTTGAGAACAGAACAGTGGTCTTTCTCCATCTGCATAAACCAAAGAATGCGTACATTTCATAAAACCCCACAAAAATAAAAACCTCAAACATGTATTTAACATTATTATCTGTTTACTCACGGCAAAAGAAAGACCAACGGCTTTACACAGCGCTCTGACAGTGTTGTGTGCCTTTCTAACACCAGATCTACAGATTAATTGAGCAGAAATCAGCATTTTTAATGCATTAGTTGGAATCAAAGATCCTTTTTACATTAAATCATCATTTTTAGTTTTATCTCCATTTTTCCGTTTCTTGGTGCATTGTGTCAGCACAGCATTCAACGTCTCTAAAGGCGTTGCCATGGTAACACCTCACGTGCAGCACCTGGCCCCTCCCGACCACCCGCGCTGTGACTGGGACCTCTACTGGCCAGCAGTTTCACCAGCAGCCTCCTTCTCAGGCTCGACTTCTACGTTTAGACAAGATCATTTAACACTGCTTTGTTTTAGGAACTGTGAATAACAGCATTACAGAGAAATGTTTCCCACCATAGCTTAGTCAAATAACCAAAATAATGTAGAGCACGATTTAAAAAGAAATATATAGAAGAATTTAAAAAAATCCCAGTTTCCTCTTTGACATGATGTAACCACCTGCAACCAGCAGATGGCAGTACAAGTCAGCACTGTGGACCTGACACAAGTCCTCATTTTAGTTTAAAGCATCTTATATAGTTCATACTTTCACAAATATCATGATCATGTCATTATTTTTATGACATTTTCTTTTGCTTTTGAAATGAGGGCAGATCTTCCTTCACCTCTCAGAGTAGACAGTACTCGTTACCATAGCAACATGATGTTTACTTGCTAGCAGTTAGCATTTGGTAGCTTTAAAAAATATATACTTTTTGCAGTATTTTAAGTTATATTCACCAGTTTTTGGACTCAATAAAAGTGATTAAAGCTAAAAAAAAAGAATGTTTATAAATGACTTCTATCAAAAAACTAAACATTTTTGGGGCAATTTCTCAGGGTCTACTCCAAATTGATGAGGCCATGATTTGTATTTGTATTTGATCCAATGAACCTTTGATGTTCTCAAAGTTATCAGCAAACTACTGTTTCAGTTGAGTCGCGTTTATGAAATCCAACCTGCATTAGCTGGAGTGAGTTATGCCCAATGCTTAGATGGTCTGTTGGCTGCAATGCATTGAAATGACTGGCAAGATACTTATCGGCCGATAATCCTCTAATGTGGTCTTGTCACCAGCCTTTAGGACCGGGGTGAACGTAGATGGCACTCTACCCTGTTTTATTAAGTGTGCCATTGGATCAGACCTAAGACATCTGGAGCCTCAGAGCTCTTCAAAGAGGAGATGATTTTCAAAACCTCGAGAAGTAATTTCCCTTAAAGCTGTCATCCAGAGGGTTATGTAAAGGGCTTGGCCATTTCAAGTTCATTGTCAAAACACTCTGAGGTAAGTTGTGATTGTCTGCAGAGGTGTCTGAGTGATGCCAAAGTCTAATTTCAGATGCTAGAGTCTGCCATTTTGTTCAATGTCACAACTTTTCTACTGTTATTTGAGTCTTTCACCTTAAAAAAAAAACTATACAGTATGTAAAACCATGAATTACAATGTCCTCTCTTTCTCTCTGAATTCAAAGTGTCATCCTTTCCATAATTCTTGGGTTAATGTCAAGACTTGTCAACTGCTTTAAAGATTTATATTGTACTTTTCCGTTGACATGGGATCCAGTAAAGTATCTATCTATGAAAATACACAGTATGTTTTAGCACAGCTTATAAGAACCATAACATCTCACATTCAAGAACAGAACACAGACAACAGGCTTAATCTGTGCTCGAAAACATTCTGTAGCGTCCCCGGTTGATTTGACTGGTCACTCGAAACTGATGGTTCACAACTTTATTGTTTCTTTGGTATGTGAACAACACCGTAAGAGCTAAAAGAATTCACACATTTAACAATTAGAAAACTTACAGTGAGACACATACAAACTCTATTTAAACCCTTAATTCATTACCATATCCCTTAACTTATTCCCTTTTTTATTACCTTAACATTCCCTTACCCTTAATTGCTTAATAATTATCATATATATTGTAATCAAACTGCTTCAAATTACCCTTTGTTACAACAGAGCTGTTAACGGCCGTTTTAACGCCCTCTAGTGGCCAAAGGTAGCATACAACTAACCTAACGGTAAACAAAAACGTTACATATTATCACAGGAAAGAGAAAATAATAATAATAACATTAAACGAACCTTGTTCCCTCATCAACCAGGTGCAAAGGGCTGAAACAAACCATAAAAAAAACCTTGACAGAAAACTATCAAGAACCAAGAGCTGTAGCACACAACCTTTTGGTCCAACTACCACTTTCTTCTTCCGTTGCTAGGCAACGACCTGTGGCCATGCACAACAAAATAAACTATTGATCATACAATAAATAACAGTAATAAATAATGGAAAAATATTAATTAATTAAGTCATTTACACTACCATTTATTGAACCATCAAAGAAAATCTCTGTCAAAATCAGCAGGTGTAGTGAGGTCTGCTTGAGTCTCCGCCCTCCGTAGACTCTCCTTCGCCTGGTTCTGATCCACTGAAGCTTCTCTGGCCGTGAATTTTCCTGTGTTTGTTTGCTTCACTTCTGGTTCTGAAGGACTTCTCACAGACGCCACATGGATGAGGTCTTTCTCCAGTGTGGAAGAGTTTGTGGGTCTTAAGTCTGTCTCTCCGATTGAAGGACTTCGAACAGAGGTTGCAGGGAAAAGGTCTCTCTTCAGTGTGGAGGAGTTTGTGGTTCTGAAGATGATGGTTCCGTTTAAAGGACTTTGGGCAGGCGTCGCAGGGAAAAGGTCTCTCTTCAGTGTGGACACGTTGGTGACTTGTGAGATGCCACATGCTTTGGAAAAGTTTCCCACAGACTTCACAGAGGTACATCCTCTCTGAACGCTGCCTTTCTCTGTCGCTTCTGCCTCTGTCAGATGTTGAGTCCGTTGTTGATCCAGGTCCTTCAGGTTCAGGGTTTGGAGCATCCTGCTGGAGAATCGTGTTCGTCGCTTGAACACAGTCTGCTCCGGGTTCCTCTTTGATCTTCACCAAAGACTTGTTCTGTTCCTCGTCGTCACTGGGTCTGAGCACAAACTCCTGCTCTTGTGTTGGATGTAGAGCTACTGGTTCAACTGCATCTGTAGAGAGAGAAGTGTTCACAAGACTGGACTGGAAGGACATCAGTAAAGATGGGTACAAGAAGAACTTAAGAACTCTACATGACCATAGCCAGTTCAATATTCCTCTAATGGAGATGATTTTAACCAGAGTCCGATGTGCTAAGTTACGATAAGTTACAATAAGTCAATTGCATAGTTTTCCTACAGTTTGTCAGATCTAGAATAGCTTTTGTGTTGTGTATAGAAGAGGACCACACCTGAAGCTGG